CCAGCAACTTTGTTTTTGTGGCAGTTTATAATGGTTGAAGTTTATTTCTATCACCATCCAAATATGATATAACTGAAACTCAGTTTGGGTATGTATTTAGCAGCTCAGCATGTTTTGTAAAATAACATATTGATGACATCAACTTATTAAACATAATAATTTAGTGCAACCTGCGCCTACAGCCTAGAATTGAAAGGAGTTTCTTTTTCTAATGTTTGCATAAATGGTTCTATTTATATATTCCACATCTTGTCGAACCAGAATTTTTCATTATTTGGGCAGCAGAAATATTTTACGGCAATGGGCAAAGGGGAAATAACATATTCCTATTGATTTGCATCTAATGACACTGCATGTTATTCATTAGTCAATTTCTTCAAATTGTTGTAATTTAGTCTTTGGTTCATTCAATGATAACTTTGGCATTAAAAATCCTCAGGCATCCCATCATAGAATATTCAATAGTAAAATCATTAAAGAGTTAACAAAAAAGTGAACATTTTATCAGAAATGTCTAGACAATGCTGAAATATATCAAACTTGCCTGAATAAATACTTATGATATCAGACATTGCCATTCTCCTCCTGATAATGTTTTGATTATGACTTTGCCTCACCAATGTTAACTGAGCTGCTGTGTGTCTTCTGTTTTATTTAAGAGTTTAGTTTTCAAAATTTTATTTTTATCCTGTAGAAACTGATCTTTTCTTTAACAAAGAGTAAATTTTTTCAACTAATATTGTTTCATTGTTTCTTTGTGTTTCATATTAAAAATTTAACATAAATTTTGTAAATTATGTGCACTCAAAACACTCTTATCTTGAACTACATCAGCAGTTGCACAGCATTTAAAGCATGACTTGAGTTCTTGGTAAAAGAGGAAACAGTTGTAAATTTAGAAATTATAAGTGCAAAATTCAATCTTGATTTTTTTTTGTCAGTTCAGAAGTGTCTCGCTAGCAGACAATACCCCATCCTGTTTTTCACAGTTGGTAAAGCTCTGTGCATTTGAGTCTGATTTCTCCCCTGAAGAAAGTACTTTAACCTAATTATTTTAACAGTAATTTCCTGTAATGAGTCCTGTCCAGTGCATATTTGAATATGAAAACCCAAGGCTCAGTCTGCAATTTGTACTGAGTTAGCTGATCTCAGTCTAGGGAATGGTGCAGATGTTGCCATAGACTTCAACGTGCCTTGCCTTGAAAGGAGAAAAATCAACCAGGATCCCAGCTCCTGATTATTATTCAGTTGCTGGTATGGGAGAGTGTTTGAGTGGACAACATTATGAATGTGCTTGACTGAACCAATTCTTACTGTATTCTCAACCAACATCACAAAAAACATTGTTCATTTATCTTGTTACTATTTGCAGAAACTTGCTGTGAGTAAATTAACTGCGGTGTTTTCTATATAGCAACAGAGAATAGATTTCAAAACACATCACTAACTGTGAAGTGTTTGGGCTGTATAAATAGAAATTCATTTCTTCTGACTGATTACTGTCATAACTTGAGTCTTCCTTAGGTCCAACTCAGAAATATTAATTTCCCAAAAAGCAAGCATGATTTCTGTTGTCGAACATTTGATTACCTAATTGAGTGACAAAGCTTAAGAATTTTAAATTGATACAACCTTATGCCTTGGAATGGCTATCAGGTTTTGAGATGCAAAAGCCCATATTACAATGTTTTAAAATTTTTGAAAGTCACTGGCACCTCAACATATATCAAGTTCACACTTTAGAGGGTTGTACTTTACACTGATCTTTCTTCACCGTTTGAGAGTTGTACTTCACACTTATGAAAATCAAAACTAATTATACTTGCAAGTGAAATACCAATTAATGATTTTTGGCAGCATTTTGGTCTAGCCTTTCTCATTCTTGAACAATGATGACTTTATGCTGTCATCTGTAAGACTGCCTCAAACCAAATTTATTGAATTCATAATTATGATGCTAGAACTGAAGACATGGGTATAAGTGGATGTTTACAATGTGACTAAAAAAAAACTTAGTATTAATAGAAGAGTTGTAATGCCTGTGAATTATATCAATTATCACTTAAAGAGAAAACTTGATTTAATTCACAGAACACTATATCAATATTTTGTTGCTAACACTTCAAAAATTTTGTCTACACATAAATGGAACATATTCTAAAATTAATATTTCCATTTATCAAAGTGTTAAATTTACTGCATTGGGAAGTTATCTACCCACCAGGTGATGATACCTTGTTAATGGATAGTCATTGTTATTTTGTGGGACTTGGGATGTGAGCGGGTCAAGAGAGAGGAAATTTCAGAAGATAATTTAGTTATTTAAAACAACTAAATTTGTGTCAAATCACAGAGATGTGTACATTACATTATAACTTTCTTGCTAACTACTACCTGGTACTGAGCTCTGTCATATATTTCGTAACTTGGAAAGATGCAGAAATTACACTAGTTTCCATGTGTGTAGCGGGTTTTATTCGAAGTGTTTTAACATGTCTGATCCGTGCTTACAATTCTTTGCTTCCAGCAACTTCTCCAGTTTGTTTCCTTTTTATTCTGAGTCCACACCTAGGCTTAACTGATCAGTTACATTTTTGCATCAGAAGTATAAAGACTCACATAATCACAATAATGGAACACTTGAACACTACAAGTCCCAAATACCAAAGGCTGTGGTTAAACCCCTGATCTTTGCTGAGTTAGAACAGAACAGAATCCCTAGGATGTGGAAACAGGCCATTCAGCACTTCAAATCCACACTGAGCCTCTGAAAAGCATCCCACCTAGACCCACCTCCCTACCCAATCCCGTAACCCTGCATTTCCCATGGCTAACGCACCTTAAGCTACACATCCCTGAACACTATGGGTAATTTAGCATGGCCAATCCACCTATCTTGCACATCTTTAGACTGTGGCAGGAAATTGGAGCACTCAATGGAAACTCACGCAGACATGGGGAGAACGTGTAAACTCTACACAGTCGCCCGAGGGTTGAATCGAACCCAGGTCCCTGGCACTGTGAGGCAGCAGCGCTAACCATTTGGTCTTAGTTGGATTGCTAATTATGGTGTTGAGAAAAGAACTGTTGTTTTATCCACCACCAATCCCCCCCCTTCCCCCCACCCACCCCAACTTCTATTTATCCATTAGCAAAAAAAAAAAGAATCAGCACTATATGAAGTTTTTGAAGTGACTTTCTCCTTGTTTTGAGTTTTTCAGTACTTGAGACAGTAAATATCCCCAGAACCAAAACAGAACAGGAATATTTTTATGTAGCTGTACTTCTGCCATTCGTGATTAAGTGGATAGAGTGGAATGGAGTTTTTTGCCCCTGATTTCAACCTGGCAAGAGTCTCAAGTTGTCTTTATTTGGCTCCTTTCCCAGAAACAGTACCAGCAGTTTGGAGGTTGTTATGTCTAGGAGTCCCTACTGCAGCCAGTTACATTCTTGCGGCTGTTGGACATTTAGAGGTCAACTTGACCTGTTCACATAAACTAAAACTCATTAAGAGGAGGGGATAAAACTGGACATGAAAAAGAATAGCGTTTTTCCCCAACAATTGTTTATACCAAGAAAATGATATACAAATTTGCAATATGCCAATCAACTGTCACTCCCATTAGTCATGTAGTCTTAAATATGCTCCAATAGAATATCTTATCACCAAAACTGCCAATACAAAGTAAGCTGATTTTGGTCATTTTAGTTTTAACAGCATAATGCAATAATGATTGCGTCGTGATGTTATCGCTCAATTCTTAATCCAAAGACCCAAGTAATGTTCTGGGAACCTGGGTTTGATTCCTACCAAAGCAGATGGTGGAATTTGTATTGAATAAAAACCTGAAATTTAGAGTCTAGTGATGATTACTAAACCATTATTAATTGTCAGGAAAAGTCATGTGATTCACTAATGTCCTTTAGGGATGGAAATCTTTCATTCTTATTGGGTCTGGCCTGCATGTGACTGCAGACCCACAATAATGTGGTTGACTTACAACTGCCCTCTGGACAATAATGGATGGACAATAAATATTGGTCTAATCCCATGACTGAATAAGAAAAAATGAACTTGCAGCTCAAATTACAGTTGAGAAGCTGTTATTGATATTTACAACAACAGGTTAAGGATATGACAATGTGGAGTTTTTATAATTAAGAAAACCCAAATAGAAATCCAGCATCTGCCCCCATAATAGCCTTTTGCTCACTTTCTCTATTTCCTTTTATTTTATCACAATGCTAGAACTGTCACAAATTTAGGTTTGAGGCTTCTAGTCAAGAGCTGAATACTTCGAGAATTTACAACAAAACAGAAATATCACTAAAATATCAAAGATGAGTCTTCACCTGGAAAACAACAGATGACCAAGTGGCAGAATCAGAATCTCATATTTTACATTTCCTTAATCTACGACTTGCACCTGTGTAACCCAATTAATTTTGAAGGATCCACCAAAACTTAGAACTGTTCCAGCGCAATGGCCATTTGGTCCATTGTGTCTGCGTCACCTCTCCAAATAAGCAACACCGTTCTCCTAACTTCTCCCTGTAAGCCTGCACATTCTTGTTTTCAAATAATAATCTGACT